GATCATGAAGAATATCCATGTGGTCCATATTCATGAAAACTTTATGGTACACCTTGTGTTTCTGCTTCCTTTTCCATCTCAGACATCCAAAAAGACTTCTAAGGTTTACAGTTCCATCACCATTTCCATAATTAATAGTTGGTTGTCCATCTGGAAAGTCATCCTTAGCATAGCTGAAACTATTAAGAAATAAACAGAATACCAGAAGAACGAACTGTTAAAATACACTCGACACCAGAAGTATGAACTGTTAAAATACACGCGACACCAGAAGTAGAAACTGTTAAAATACACGCGACACCAGAAGTAGAAACTGTTAAAATACACGCGACACCAGAAGTAGAAACTGTTAAAATACACGCGACACCAGAAGTAGAAACTGTTAAAATACACGCGACACCAGAAGTAGAAACTGTTAAAATACACGCGACACCAGAAGTAGAAACTGTTAAAATACACGCGTCACCAGAAGTAGAAACTGTTAAAATACACGCGACACCAGAATTATGAACTGTTAAAATACATGCAACACCAGAATTATGAACTGTTAAAATACATGCAACACCAGAAGTACGAACTGTTAAAATATGTGACACCAAAAGTAGAAACTGTTAAAATACACGTGACACCAGAAGTACGACCTGTTAAAATACGTGACACTAAAAGTAGAAACTGTTAAAGTACACGTGACACCAGAATTGTTTTAAAAATACTATGTCACATTTTAAAAACTATTTCTTCATTTGTTCTGTACTTCAGTAACTTGCCTTTAGACGAAATTCTCACACATTGTATTTATGTACATGGTATAATACTTTACATGTTTACCTTACTTGTGTCTATTAACACACTATACCGACTTGTTGTTTAAACCAACCTCGTAACCCCTAGTAACCATGAAACTGTACATACTATAACATTTAACACAGTAAGTAAAGCTCAAAAACTTGACAAGCTTTTAGTAAGATTTAGAAGTATTAATTCACAAAATATCAAATTTTTAATAAAACATAAATATTTACAAGAGATTTCTCTGTGAATTTATGAAGTCAGAGTCTGACTCAAGCTCTCCCTAATCAGAGTGCAAAATGATTTTCAAGTTAAGATTAAAAATACTTTTTCATCTTACAGTTTTAAGATTTCATGGCATAACCTCTAGAACCTGCCAAATATCAAAAGTTTTTTCAGTAAAACTTTATATTTCATCCGTAATTAAAAAGAGTTAAACTATACAACACCTTTCCATAGTGTCGACATTAGACCCATGTAAACAGTGAACTTCAACACCAGGTGGCTCCAAATCATAGGTCAAATTATGAGTATCTTTCCACATTTCCCAACCAGTTGGAAAATTAATGTCCTGAAAAAACTCATAGTAGTCTCCAACTGTGTAATTTTTTTTTGCTGTGTACACAAGAACTTCACTTTTGGACCAAAATCTATCAGAAGGAGTGAGAAAAGCCAAACTGGGACAGCTTCTCTGCTCTTGTCTCACAGTAAGAGGTTTGACGAGAAAAATTCCCAAGTTTTCTCCTGGTAAAAAATAGAAAAGATTGTATAATTTTATACAGACAAGCAAAACGTGGGGTTCAAACTTACTTTTCTTGAATGGGGAAAAAGAACCAATACTACAACTACATATTACAGAAATTAAATAAAACCTACTTACATGCACAACTTCTGTTATTTTTCATACCTTAACATTACATGTGGTTTCAGCTTACTGATGTCCCATCGTTGAGCCTTACAAAATAATGTATCTGTATCTAAAACTTTCTAACACAGGCTTCACGTAGTCATTGTTTTTCATTACTGGTAAAGTGGCTTACTTTCTACTTAAATTTAATGTTCACTTTTTTAATAATAATTAGTTAAATTAAGTGAATTACACATTCTTATAGTGTGATGTAATGTATAAACTTGATGGATTTTGCCATTTACATGTATTAAACAAGAGTAGCAGTTAATGGTATAAGACAAAAGTTCAGATGTATAATAACAAATGCAGTAACCAAGTATCTGAACTGTCCAATTTATCATAATTTCATTTCCCGACTAAATTTATGTGGGAAATCGTTTCACAATCCAAAATACCCATTTTATGAAAACATCAACTGAAATACAAGTGATGTAACACTAGGAACCATCGTGTACAAAATTTTAAATAAAACCTGTATACATGAACAACTTTTATTATTTTTTTGCAACACCTTTTATATCTTAACATTACATATGATTTCAGCTTTAGATCATGTGCATAGAAAATATCATAGTTATTATAGTTATTCATGAGATTCAAATATTTCAAAATGTTCTTGCACGAAAAAGACTACATCTTAAAGAATTAAGGGGGGAAGGGAACAACATTAAATTCCAATGTAATCTAAGTAAAAAATATATATATACACATATGAGACTTGATAAAAATACACCTTACATTCAATTAATTCATTTTAAGTGTAAAAACAAATTACAGTTGTTTGCAGAATACAACAGATGATAATTATAAGCGATACTCTACCCGAAGCAAAAGCCTTTAAAGCTTTAACAACTCCTCCCCAAGGTGCTCCAAGAGAAACAAGTCCTTTAACATGCTTATCCTTCCAAGTCTGTGACTGTTTGTTAAGCATATACAGCATTACAGGACACCCCAAGCTGTGACAGATCAGTAGAACCTTCTTATTTCCAGTTTTGTAATACGTGTTTTCTAACATATTGGTAACATTCTTCAAATAGTCCTGCAATTCATCTATAATAAAACAAATGAAAAAAGAACAACCCTGTAAACACTATCAACCCACGAAATACTAATCAGTAGACTTAATTACCGAAAAAAGTTCACGTCTGCAAAACATTTAATAGTATTATGACTGATCAAAATAATTATCAATCCATAATTTCTGTCAGTAAAATGTAAGCTTTCGAAGGCCATGCACAGAATAACACATACTTCAACTATCAATCGGACTTTCTCGATAACTTGGGAAAAATGAGAGAATATATTTTCATATTATAGCTTACACAACTGCAAATTAAAAAAACCTAAGAGCTAAATTTATTGGGAAATCCTCAAACTTTATTTAGATAAAGTACAAAGATGGCAAGGACCTAAAGCAAAGTATTCTATCTATATCATCAACCTAGATTTGAACCTGGCTCATGAGCTCCAAAATCCAGAGCTCTATCAAATGGCCACCAGTACCCAGGTAAACATAAAAATACTTTTGTAATTTAAGTCTACAAGTATGTATCACTGATCTTGTGTGTTTTTTTATAACTCAGATCTTCATATTACAAAGGTTGAGATATTCCACCTACTAGGTGTGAATAGGATTATCTCCTGATTTCACATTAGAAACATACACCGTGTGTTTTCAATTTTCTTTAACATTTAAATATTTAATGGTTAAGAACAAAGCAAGCTAAGATAGAACTGAACTTAAAAAACAATTTACTGTAAATTCATACAAGTTTTCTTTGGTTGGGAATACAATTTGCCTTTCCTAGTAATGAATAACTTGAACAAATCACCCCTAAGAAATAGCTCAGGTTACAGTTCTTAGTCTATAAACTAACATGTTTCCACATTTTATAGTGTTTGAGTAAAATTAAAGTATTTTGGAGTCTCACCACATTGTTACAATCCGTGTCCAGTCATGTTCTATCTGATGACTATGCATCATGATAACAGCCCTGCGTCATGGTTTCCTTTGTAAAAGGCTCCATTGTAAGGCTGTCTAAAGCACACCCCCTTTCCCATGCTGTTTCTCCATAAGCTATCTAGTGTACAGGGATGATGGTCTCTTAGCCCCCTTTTCAACAGTTCGATCGCAAAGATGTCTGGTGACTTGACCAGTTTGTCTTCATAATAGCATTTCATTCTCCAGCTGCTTGAGGCGTACAATGACTTAGCTGCTATGTTGTGTACGTGAGACTTGTGCTGCTTTTCCAGACAGAAATCCTTCTTGGTTATGTTGCACACTGTTGCTGTGGCACAAAGACGGCTTTTGCTACTGACTTTTGTGTTTGTGGATTCCCACCAGTTACAAGATGCCACATTTTGCTTACCATGGTTTGGGTACAGCTTGTTGCAGGACTCTTTTTGGATGTTTCTGATGCCCCAAGTTTTCCATATTCCTTTGTTTTCAAATGCCATTAAGTAAGAGGGATATCCTCGTCTTAGAAATTCTAAATCCTGATATGAACACATCTTTATGACCTAAGCGTATACATATTTTGAGTCGGAAATGACTGTTATATACCCTTCCCTAAAGCGATCAACTTTCGGTGGCATCACACTACCTACAAAACACCAAACAATGTCAAAATGTAGTTCTGATACAAACCGTTCCATTGTGACTTTATACACTGACTGTGGTTGTCACATCACTTGATTTTCATACTCAAAATCATTTTAATAAAATTTTACACAACTCTCTGTATAAGATTTTTTCAGAATTGCTTAATAACCTCCTTTAAATCTGAATAAACTAACAAGTGTTTCAAGCTTGACAGCATATTTCCAAATGAAATTTTCTGACCTATTAAGACTGTTAAAGCAATTAAGGCAACTTAAATTTGAAACATTTTCTTTGAAAAAATAAATAATATATTACAGTTTTCAATCTATATTCAGCTGCATTTTCCAATTAAAAATGGCCAAAACAAACTTTAGAAGCTTTCTACTCAAACTTGTGTAGGATATCTTTAAATTTATCAATAAATTTTGGTAACAAGTACATAAAACAATTTCAATTTTCTGGTCAAAAAGACAGATTCATATACAGTTCTATAAATTAACTCCAGTGTATTTAAAAAAAAAGTACTATTTTCAATTTCAACATGCATTATTTCATAATTTCTAATATGACAACTTTGGGAAATGCTTTTTTTTTTTTTATTTACAACTGCATGTCCCTAAGGCAATTTCTAAGACTTAATAAAAAAAAAAGAAATTTAATAAATTTTGTATTGTCACTAAGTGAAAAGGCAAAGAATATCTGAGCTCATGCTTAAAATACAGATCTTAAAGAGGGCTTTACTTTCTAAGAAGCTTTTAGTACTTACTAGGTGCTTTGCGAAAGTCATATGGAGCTCCTTGGATGTTCACCCCCCGGCTATACCCCAAAGGTAACACATACTCAACTATGTTTGTGAAATAAGCACCTAAAAACAACAATAATAAAATAAGTTTATAAATAGAAAACTTTCCAATAAATATTTCAAAGAAATAGTGAAAACAACATAAAAATAAATTTATTATGAAAAATAATATATGCAGTACTGTAAATCAGGGCTGCAGAAATGTTACACACATTCAATGTGTATCTGAACATTTAGTAAATAGATGAATATTTCCTTTAAAAACTAAACATTATTTTTACAAAGAAAGAAAAGAGAACATTTCAACTTCAAATGAATTACAGTTTTTTTCCAAGTAGTGTTACCTACTGTAAATCTGGAGAATAATACAGAAATTTTACATAAAACATCATAATTGTTAATTCAACATTGTTCTCCTTGGTGAAAAGAACATTTCTTATGCTATATATCTCCTCCCCCCTTTTCTAAAGGCAGTTGAAAATTTATTGTATTTTATAATAATTTAATATATTCAAAAATGAGTCAAGTAAACAATAAATTTGTAGCACAATTAAATTATCTTTGTCGATACAGTTAAGATTTACTATTCATACGATACAATTTACAGGTTTATGTTTGTATCAGTCATCAGGCTATTTACAGGTTTACGTTTGTATCAGTCATCAGGCTATTTACAGGTTTACGTTTGTATCAGTCATCAGGCTATTTACAGGTTTACGTTTGTATCAGTCATCGGGCTATTTACAGGTTTACGTTTGTATCAATCATCGGGCTATTTACAGGTTTACGTTTGTATCAATCATCGGGCTATTTACAGGTTTACGTTTGTATCAATCATCGGGCTATTTACAGGTTTACTTTTGTATCAATCATCGGGCTATTTACAGGTTTACTTTTGTATCAATCATCGGGCTATTTACAGGTTTACTTTTGTATCAATCATCGGGCTATTTATAGGTTTACGTTTGTGTCAATCATCGGTCTATATCCATACAGTCTCCAATTACATTTTCTATAAAGATTAACGAGGTTCATAAAATGTGTCCATTATTGGATCAATGGTAAGTTTACAGACTTAAACTTTAAAATCTGGGGTTTAATTTCCTGAGGCAGACAGACCACAGATAGCCCAATGTGTGGCTTTGTACAAAATCAAACGGTAAAATTTATATAACATTTATGTTACTTTCAAAAGCCTATACTATTGTGCCTTTTGGATGTGGCTGTGTTAAATATTGTATAAAACTAAACTAGTATTTAAACCTAAGAAAATTGCTAACAGATAAATCGGTCCTGATTTAATTTTTAACTATTATGCTCATTATATGCATGGTTTTTTAATTATCTTTTCCTTACTATAGTCAACCTGTATCTATATAGGATTTGAAGGATATGTGACTAATAACTGTACCAGTATAACTCAGTGACAAGTGGTGAATGGTGAATCAAATGGTAGATTTGGCTTCATATTCAATCTTAATATTTTACACAGCTAGGTTCCTGAACAATACAGTAGAATAAATGAGTAATATTAGTGCAATACATTTTTTCAAATCCTACATAAGTACAGATTCAGTATTTATAATTAAATTCTGATCACAGAAAGCTACCTATAAGGATGAGAATTGAAAACATACCCAGTACTGATCATAGCTAATTAAATATATGTTCAAACTATCTTAGTTGTAGATTAGAATGCATTATTTCACCAGTTAAGTACCCTCACTGTTAACAATATCTTAGGCCACCAGAGGAGACCTACTAAGTACACGATGCAGAATAGATATTATAATACAACTAAAATGTATCACATTGTAAAATAATCGCAATAAACATAATAAAATTAGAAAAAACTGAAATAAAAATCAATATCTTAAGTATTATACCCAACACTGTATGTCCAAGAACAAACTATCACACCTCGATAAAACAAAAATATCAAACCCTATAAAATGAGCGCTTTTGAAAGACAGATTTTTTCTTCATCATAATGCCAATTTTGCTACAACTAGTGTTAGAGGTGAAGAAAATAGCAGATATAGTTTTACTGAAAAATTATTTTTGATATTCATTTTGGAGGTCTTAGATATTATGCAAATAAAATATGAAAACTGTAAGATGAAAAAAAAAGTATTTTTATTCTTAACATGAAAGTCACCTTATACTCAGACTAGACAGAGTGTTTACTGACTCAGTAAATTCACAGATAAATCTTTAATAAGAATTCTTTATTAAAAATTCAGATTTTTTGTGTACAACATACTTCTGATGTTTACTAAAAAGCCTACCAAATGCTATGAAAGTACACATAGTAAATTTTGAATTATAGTACACATTGCTATGTATAGCTTCATTGTAACTAGGTTGGTACAAAGCACCAATGCCATCCACAAATAAACAGAACCCACCAACAATAGAAACCATTACAACAATATATTCAGCTGCCATCTCAATAACATCTCATCAAGTTCAGCCATTTTAAGAAATTAAGAAATAAAAGTGGATAATACACGATATAAAACATAAATGTAACTAAATATATCAAACATTTTAAACAATGAAACTAACATTAAAAAAAAGAATAGAATAAAACTTGCTTACAAAATGCATCAAATCTAGTTTGTTTCATGTATTCTCCATCACTTGAAGAATATTTTAAACATTTATACAGATAACAATTAAGGAATTTTTTATTTTGTTCTGCATATGGCCTTAGGCTTAGGTTGGAAAATTAATTATTGGATTAAATTTACTACTGGAAAAAATAATTGTTAAAATATTATACGTACTTGGAGACACATGACTTGGATGTAACCATTCCACACTAACTGTGTTTCCAAATCCTGGTATGATGATATCCACACCTGGTGAATTTGTTGTTGTTCTAGTGTGGTTGTTATAGACCAATCTGCAGAAGTAGTATCACAACCACAAGCAATTATTTAAAACTTAATTAATGCATTTATGAAATCAAGACTTAATATTACAGCAAATAAAGGAAATTAAACACAGTAAATATAACTCAGCTTGGTTACTATACAAATACATGCTGCCTCTTGTTCAAACACCTGAATTTTCAAAACTTTTTACAAGAAAAATAAAAGTTTATTAAAAATAATAGTTATCATTTCATGTTATTCTTATAAAGTTCTGAAAATATGTTTGCTTGTTTGTTTTAGAGCGAAGCCACGTTGGGTCTATCTGCTGTGGCCACCACAGAGAAATGATATAAAAATATGTTCGAGTTTTTTTTCTTCTGTGTTTTCCTTTTTACAGATCAGTCACATTTAACCCTTCCACTACATAATTAGATTTCAGGGGCATTACCCAAAATTTGACCTCTTTTATTACGTTTCCAACTTGAAATGACCATAGACTTTCCACATGTGGCATTAAAATTTCTTGAAAACAATATTAAATAACAGAAATTTATATCTTCAACCAGAAAATGTGCAAATGGTTCTCCACTATATGACAGTAAAATGGCAGCCATTTCAAGACCAAGGGACTTCTCTCGATTGTTATGGTAACGAAAGATTTTTGGCTGCCATGGAGAAAAGTCAACTTTCCGGACTTAACAGTAATAAAGGTTCAATCTACTTCAGTTGATTTTCACAGCACAGTGAAAGGGTTAAGAAAACTTGGTTTGTAATTGGTAACAAAACGACACACGTGTATTCTTCTATGACTTATAGTTTTGATCTCATGAACTGATTATGTATTCACATTTTTGTCAATTTAATTTTTATCTGGAATTAGGTTTCTGTGCTGAAGAAGTAAGAAAATTATGGATAAAAAAAAACTAATTACCATAATTTTTGTATTTATTATTACATGTTTGTAACAAAATGTCTGAAAACCCCTTAAGGCCAGCTGGGTAAGAGTAGGTAGATTTCACAAATAATTTATGAGGCATTAAATCTTACCGTTTAATGCCTAAGCTGGTAGATGAAGATCTGTAGTATTAAATGAAAGACCCAATCACAACAGAGTGCAACAGGTAGAATGTTATAACTGAAATCTTATTATAATTTTTTTTTTTACTGAAAGCTAGTAATGAACCATACTGTGGCATAATCAGGGGTGAAATTCTGCCATAATTTCCAGGAATTTATTTTTAAGGTGGTACTAGTACCAGGAATTTATTTTTAAGGTGGTACTAGTACCAGGAACTTATTTTTAAGGTGGTACTAGTACCAGAACTTATTTTTAATGTGGTACTAGTACCAGAACTTATTTTTAAGGTGGTACTAGTACCAGGAATTTATTTGAGCTGCTTTGTCATTTTTTATGTTTACACGTAGATTTTTTTTCTTTTTTCAAAAACAGATCCACTTCACCCAGCTGAGTACCACAACTATTGTTTCTAGAATTTCACCCCTGGGCATAATACCACATCCATTTCCTATTGATGCATTGTTTCCACATAAATGTCTAGGCCAGAAATATAAAGAAACCAAAACACTAACGCACTCAAATCATAAGTAGCAAAAAATTTCCATACACATTTACATATGTATTAATTATGTTTAAACTAAAGATGCACATATATACCAACCATGATGCTGGGCCATAGTTGTTATCAATAAACATTCTACCATATATATAGTACATACCTCATGTTGTCCACCCAACAGTTTAAAAGATACGGTATTAACAGCTCCAAATTAAGCCAAAGGGTAAAGTATTCAGTTGTTTTTTTGTCGCAGTAATAGAGAACAGTTTCTGGTTTATTCAACTTTGCTTGTACCTGACTGCCTCCATCTCCTGGAACTTGATCATCAAAAAAAAAAAAAGATTTTAATAAGAGAAGTTTTGAAAATACAATACATAAAACTTTAAATCCAAATTTTGTTTTTAAATTTCATATGAAAAATCCTTTCATCTCGCACATCTTTTTCAAAATTTATGAGGATACAAGAATGTAGCTAATACTACAGAGTGAGTGGGTCTTTTTCTCAAAACAAATGTGGAACATTTCTTCTACATAAATTAATTAAGTGATTAACATGAAATTTAAGTGTTTATTTTAAGAAAATCAGATGATAATGGACCTCTAAGTGTTTTTAGAATATTGGAGTGGCTGCTCAAGAATTACAAGAACAAATTAAAAGTAATCATATAAAAGTGTATTTCATCTTAATAATGGTGTTAATCAACGATACTGTAGAAAACATAATATTTACACACAAAAATTACTCCAAATTACACCCTACCATATCTACATACTTATCCAACATCATTAGAAAATAATTCAAACTACTTGCAACTTTATCAAAAAACAAAATTATTCCACAAGCTTATACATGTATTTAACCAAAAAACATTATATCTAAGAACAAGTCAACATCTTATACAATTCCAATCCCATATTACTCACTGTTCCTTGAGGCATCCACAAAGTATTGTAGCCAGTAATGCCCGTTATTAGCCCATGCTGATGCATGTCATTTGTTAGCATAATATCTTGTGATATGGGAGGCATGGCTCCCTGGAGTCAGTTAACTGTTACATCTTTAGAATTAATCTTTTTGTTACGGGTCCCCTTTTAAACTCCTGTCTATGTTTGCTACCGAATTGCATATAAAATTTAATTAGATAACTTTACTATCATTGTATGTCAATGAAATTAACATTATAATATATGTTATTATTCAAAGTTTTATGTTATCTAAGTTTTAATTCCTTTATACCAAAAGTAACATTTAAAAAATACTTTAACTTCAGTTTTGTTATCACATGACCTACAAGTATGCACAAATCTTAACTTTTGGTTTCTGTAACTTGACTAACACTACACCTACACTGTACATGTATGTCTAGATACAATCTATGTTTATTGCACTATTTACATTTCTTGTTTCAAAGTTCTTTGGTCCCATTCACTGAAAACAAAAAATATTTTCCCACCCCCTGACAGAAGTGATGTCCACCTTTTATACTTAGTCTTGTGATTTACAAGCCACATGTACTTATTTGATGTACATGTTTATAACCAATAGGAAGAGCTTATTTTAAACTACAATCTCCCAATGGATATTTTAAAATTGTCACACATTATTCATTATCAAGTACATGTAGCTGCCAATAGTATTGTTTGCTGCTTTGTCCTCGATAGCCTTTATGGTTGCTTCTTACCTAGAAACATTTTAGTTACATAAACAGTTAAATTGTATTCAGGATTTACTTTTATATTTTGTTTATTTGTACAATTATCATACTTCACTAAATTATTTTGCAAAGATGTTTATTTTTCAAAATATCTAGAATTTTTTCAATAACAAAAGTATGCTGTAAGACTAACTGGTCTATAAATTTCCAAGGTAAGTCACATCATCCACTTTGAAAATAGAAGAAAAATCAACAATTCTACACTCCTCAGGTACTAACACACCAAAATTTGTTTATTACCAATTTCACAAACTCCCTTACTACTATGTAAATTTTATTTAAACTACCTTTAATGAAATGCTTTAGATCACCCTGTTATCTAGCCAGCCTCATTATAGTCAATCTGTAGCATGTACTTCACCTTTTCCAGAAGACTGTCCCATAGGACCAAACACTCCACCTACAATTCTAATAATATCCTTGATAATCTTTCATGTAAGCCTTTAATCCTGCCAAGTAATTCAATCCTGTTTGGTAAATACACATATCATGAGTTTCATACCTTCTTATTCTAATAGAGAACTTTTTGGAATTAACCAGTCATTCCCTTCATGTGCAGTTTTCACATAACACATGGTAAACAAGTTGTTAAGTTGATTTTGTTCTAGCTGCCTTTGTTCTTTGTTCATTCTCTGTAGATTCCACCTGTTCAGCCAATGATGGTTATGGCTGTAATGATGCACATTGTTCATATTATGTGAACTGTAGTATCTTCCAATGGTAAGTCAGATAATATCTTGAGGTTACAACCTTCCTTATGTTTAAATGAGAATGACCAGTCACATGGACAGAGCTAGTCATTCTAGGTAAATCTAAGTAAGGAACATTAGATTTAAAAATAGTCTAATACATCATCTTCAAGAAGTCAGTTTGGAAAGAGAATAGATCCAATCCAGTAAAACCAACATTCCATTGTCTATACAAGTACATACACTGCATTTGTGTTTTCCATTATAATAAAGATTGTGTTTTTGCATTTTATATTGTGTCCAATCTATTTCATTCTTATATACTAAGTTATTCAGAGACATTCAGTATTACTCTGTATTTAACTATCCTGTTGAATCTCCTGTTATTCAGCAGACCTATCCCATTGCTCCAGGAATAATCACTTTTATCTAAATATACCACACCAGCACTAAGCTCAAGGGAGCACTCCCAAAAGTGGTACACATATATTTCTATTCCTAAAGTTCTTGAGTTCTTTCCTTATTAAACAGTCCTTCTGATTTAAAACTTCCAACATTATTTGCCCTCTGCATGCATTATAAAAAAAAGAATGCACCTTGGTACCAGCAAAATGTAAGAATAAAGATTGGGTCCTTAAAGAGAGGGAGCTGTGCAAGTTAATGGACATTTTTTTTTAGCTCTGAAATAGAGGAATAAGAATCGCCTAAAAAAGATTACTGACTTACTGAAAAGGGGTTCAGAGTAGAAGGCTACTGTGATGATTCCAGAGAAAAGCTTCTTGAGAAAACGAGGGTTAAAGGTGATCTTATTGAACTTTTCAATATTATTCAAGATATTGATAGGATCAATGACTCATTTCTTTGTGTTATATTCCAAGTTTAAAAAAGAAAGAAAATGAAACATAAATTTCAGATTTAGAAAACATGGGCTAGGTTCTAGTTAAGACAGTTATCAGTTTATTTTTCTAAAAGGACGATTTACTTCAGAATAAATTGCCTTCAACAGTATTGGAGGCCATTATTTTACAGAAGTTTACAAGTGGAACTCATGACTTCCTGTGAAACAGAGTGGGTTTGGTTCTTCCTGGCTGTCTTTGTCACACACACACACACACACATACACACACACACACACACACACTTTCAGAAAAGAAAAAAATTATAGATCTGTTTTATGTTAAAGTGTTAATTAGAAGCAATAATCCCAACTCTTAAGATAATTAAATAAATTCTACTTATTCCTTATTTAACATACACTTACAATAATTACTTGTTTAATTTATTATTTAATAACTCAGACTATTATCTTATAACCTAGTACTAGTACCGTGGTATGCCCACATAGTGTGTTTTCTACCTGCTTAAGTTACAATAATTACCTGCTTAATCCAATATTTAATAACTCAGACTATTAGCTTATAACCTAGTACTAGTACCGTGGTATGCACACATAGTGTGTTTTCTACCTGCTTAAGTTACAATAATTACCTGTTTAATCCAATATTTAATAACTCAGACTATTAGCTTATAACCTAGTACTAGTACCGTGGTATGCACACATAGTGTGTTTTCTACCTGCTTAAGTTACAATAATTACCTGTTTAATCCAATATTTAATAACTCAGACTATTAGCTTATAACCTAGTACTGTAGTATGCACACATAGTGTTTTCTACCTGCTTAAGTTAAATAGGAGTTTTTTCATTTACTTGATTTGCATGCAGTTTTAGTATAAACATGAGGTCCAGAAAGTGCCTTGTTCTAGTTGCTTTGTTCTCCATTTTAGATAATGTTTTTTCTGCTCAAGAGAATATTGCAGTAACATATAGCAACTGAATTGAAAAGATTATCAATTGTAAGATCCTTTAGGGCCAACCATTTGTCTGAATGTTAAAGCCAATCAATGCCGTGAGAGAGCAAAGATCACGATACAATGCTGTCAAATGGACAAAGAAACTGAGCTTGAATTCAGATGCACTTTCTCAGTTCAGTTCTACTGGAAGATAAAATTAAGGTTATACTTGAAAATCATAAAATCATCATGTTTTAGTTCTCCACCATCACACAACACCTTTACATCAATAAGGGCCAGAAGAACTGCTTACCCACAGTTTTGATAAATCATTATACTCCCCGATGTCCTCCACTCCTTATGTTGTATAAACAAAATGAAATTCCTGCATTAGAACTCTGGGGACAATTACCTGGATCACAAGTTTGATACCTTGCCTCGATAGTTCATAGTCATGGTATAGTATAACATCCTGTATTCCTAACAAACTTTAGAAGTTTGTGATGGGCATGAGCTACCTTTCTATACAAGAAATATCAACCAAACTGGGTCTGGGTCCTCTAGTTGCTCTTTCTGATGTTCCTGATTGGTCATCCTAAATGCATAATTGTCACTTCTCATATGGGTTAATGTCACTGCTGCTGTCATGGCCATACACATTTTTCAGGATCTGAACATTCAGTGAATGAACAATCTCATGAGTTGGCAAGATAAACTAAAAGCATTTCCACGTACTCTCGAAAACTGGTTATCCAACATTCAATCATAGATGTGTAAAAGGATTAGTACAATCTTGAGACACCTGGTCAACATGGATGTGATTAAAACATTATAAAAACATTACATGAATACAACTGAATAAAGATATATTCTACAATAGTTATAGAATGGTGAAATTCATGACTATTTCAATCATCACATCTACCTGTATAACCCTCACTTTTTTAGTAATGGCCATCCTAGTAAACTCAGTACACTCATTCTCACCATCTTCCAGAGCATCCTTTACCTTAAGACTATTTTATGTCTTCCTTCCTCGACTCTTGGCCTTAATCTGCTACCTTTCCCCTGTAATACTAATAGAGTAATCTTCTCCAACATATGCTTACGAATACAAGCTATGCAAGAAATGTACTGCATTTTCCTGAGACTCCTGCAATTCACAATCATGCAGAAGATTCTGAAACATAACCCAATCCTGGCACTTATCACGTCCTATAAACTTCATCCCAGAAATACTTCTAATCACCCTGAAGTTTTACTAGTGTTAATTCCCTATTAATTACCAACATAGCCATCCAGTACTTTTAAATTTAAATTAAACTACTTAACAGTTTATAGATTAAACTGTAAATAAATTAACACTTAAATTAAATTTCCCATTACTTAACCGATACTACTAATTACTTATACTGCAACAAGAGACATATACCACACCTAGTAACATGGACCCATCACTAATCATAAATACTTTACCTATATATTTAAATATTTCATAAATAATAATGGAAACAGTAATTTTAACTCTTAGTATAAATAGATTTCTTCTTTTATTTAGTTACCTTAGGTAATGTTAATAGTTATTTCAGTGTAATATTAAATGACATTTGTTTACATTCTATAAATTTTATACTTACAACAATAAATGGATATATATTTTTTCTTCGCATCAGTTTTTTTGGTTAGCAATTTTAAGTGAAAATTGTTCATTTAAAGAAAACTAAATAAATTTTTCATTAGGTCAAAATTACTGTAATTAGATATAAAAAAAATGCTCTTATTACAAGTCTATCCAAACTTCAATATACACTGAACAGAAAAATATGTATTACACCACAAAGAATATGCAAGTTATAACAATATTTTTGCTCAGCAACATCTACCATTTGTTAAACTCAGTAGAATACTAGTTGTTCTCTTTTTCTAGTAATTTCTATCAGAAGAAATATATTTTACATGTTTGAAAGGCTTTTTTGATTAAAAATTATGTGAAATTAAATGCACATATATTCTATTACAGTACTACTATCTACTCATTTCTTAGGCCTCTCTTCAGAAGCACGTGGAAAACTTGGATGAGAACTGTATAGGGGTTGATGCAGAAAAAAATCAAACTTTGGAGCTGTATGCTATTAAAAAAAAATAACTTTTGCCAAACAGGAGTATATAATTTTTGCTGTTTCCATTGAATGAAAGGCAATCTTTATAGGCTAAATGGCCCATTGTCATTTCACTTTTTTACTTCATTAAAAAGAGAATAAATAAACTTGAAGATTAAATTTTAATAAAAAAACACAATTTAAGATTTAACAAGAAAACACAAACTGATAATTATTACTATCTAACTATTACTACCACATTGTCCTGTAAGGATTGTGTTGATATCTGGATTGATTGATTGATTGATAAATGTACAAAAAATAGCGTAATTATGTTGTTTGTACCTTGATATTAAAAAAAAAAAAAAGGAAAGCACTGGAGACTAACCACAGAAATTACTGGCCTTCATTATTTGAAACAGCTTTGACAATGGTCTAATGTTTTTGTTTCCACAATTCAAATTCAACACAAATCAAGAGCTGAAATACACAGGGTTGAATTAACTACACTAAAGCTTTTTATTAAAAAACAAAACAAAAAACACTCAACACAGCTAGTGTGTTATTTATAAAGAAGCATTCTATTACTAGTCAGGAGTTGTGAAATCTGTTTGGCCAGCTGTTTGAACTTGGGACATACAGCTCACTTTAATTTAAATGTTTCAATATCAGTACTCAACCAACCGAGATACCAGGGCTCAAGTTTCAAGTATAAGACACTTCATCCTAGCACTAAAACGGGAAGTTCTTAAGCTCTTCTCTTATTCTTTGTAAACAACCTGATGTTTGGTGTTTATAAGACTCATAAATTATATTCAGATACAATTTCAGCTTACAGACTTTATACTTTGATTTTTTTTTATAGTATCACTTATTCTTTTTGGTTATATTTTGGTCTAATCAGTAGTAAAGTTAGTACTGGTATGAATAAAATGAAAACCATTTATGATAAAGATAGAGTAATTATATGTTTATAATGTATGGAAATAGCTAAATAAGTAAATATTTTAAGTAATAAATACACTTACTGACTTAGAAACACTTATGATTATGTCAGAAAAACACGTAGGTTCAATAAGTCTTGATACAAAATGATAAAAACCCTATAACTTGAGCACTTTGGGTTATAGGTTTTTTTTATAATTTTACACTTAGAAGTTAGAAACAAATGGAGAAATACTATAAGTTATAACATGTTAGTATTACTAATAGTAACACTACTATATTATATAGTACTAGTATTACTACCGATTCACTGAGTACTGCATAGTGTATGTATGATTTAATATTACTATTAGTAGTACTAACCATAACATACCTAATATAATAGGAGTCACTTTGTTACTGATTTGCTCATTTGGTCCATTTTCAATATAATCGATATCTTCTGGTTGTGTTTTTTCCATACAGCTTGAGTTTCCGAAAACAGTAAAAAGGTTTAAAGTAAAAATCAACATTAATAACTTTGTCGAAACTTTCGACACTCTTACTCTTAGCCTTACTGATCCGAGCAAGTTCTTCCTAGCAGTCGCACTAAAAATTATAGTGTAATAAAATAAAAAGTTTCTTAATCTAAACATCGGTTGGCTTTATAAATAAAACACAAAATCAGAAGTGCTAAGAATATTTAACTGCGACAATCTAATACTGCAGTAACACTAACAGTCACTAAAACCCAGAAAAATATTAAGTTCATTCATCCTGTTATTTGAGTAGACAGCTTACGTCGGTACAAGATATATAAACTCCAGAAATTAAACCCTCAACGTAACTGGCTTTGAAAATTCATCACGTGCAACCACTTGAATAACACGCTCGATACTTTGCCACCTGGTTGTAAAATGTGCAAATAGGGCGGAAATAAACAAAAAAAAACAGGAGTTTGAACGGAACAGCATACTATTATCCAGAACAGCATGGAACGCAGTTTTAGTACATAATAAAAGCATCTTTATTTTGAAAAACGAACTAATCTGAAAGAATAGACAGACAAATATATGTTGTTGTTTTTTTTAAACTATGCTTGGAGCAGTGAAAAAAACCAGAGAGAAATCGCTGTCAGTCGGGCGCTATTTTATTGGAGGTGTAACAGACTAATGCCAAAATTGCCATATAACTATTGTGAATCTATATGTCTATATTTTCAAGTTTCTGAAACATCGGTTCATAGGAGTGTAACTGTTGATAATTTTGCGTTTAATGTTAACAGTTAAGTTAATTCTTAAACTCTAAATTAAAGAAAGTTTACCCATAGATAAAGACCGCCCGACTCTTAACGACTTACTAAGCTTTTTAGACCTGAAATTATTCTAAATCTTTACACTTAAACTCAACTGTTGTACAATATATCTATAATCCTTTGTTGTTGTTTTATCCTTCCGTTTATCATTTCTCTTAAATTGTTTGTTTGAATTTCGCGCAAAGCTACAGAGGGCT